GGAAAAAAAAAAAAAAAAAAAAAAAGCAGCACCTCTTTTTTCCTCTTTTTTCTTCTTTCTTTGTAGGTAGACCTTCTCCCTTCCATTTTCTGCAGGTAGACTGGTCCTCCTTCTCCGGAAGGTGGGTAGACCAGTCCCACCGTTGCCCACGGTAAACCAGGACAGCCTTAGCTCTCCAGTAGGGCTAGACTAGGCTTCATTTTTTTTTTTTTTTTTGCAGCATGAAGCAAAAGCCCAGCCCTGCCCTGCCCAAGAGCTTTTTGCAGCAAGACGATGGTGAAAGTCAGCTGGACTGGTAAAGTGCAGGGTGACAGGGGTCTTGAAGTGCAGGATGGCAAAGGTAACTGTAACTGGGACTGGGCTGGGTGGCTATGGCTTCCTGGGGCACAGCAAGCAGTGGTTCTGGGGCTGCTTGCCACCCCACAAGGCAGGGTGCAGGGCAGCCAGAAGGACAGAGATGGGAGGGGGCAAATAGTAAGTGGGAGGACTTGGAAGCAGTCCCTTACCTTACTGAGGCTCAGGACTGGGAGGGACCAAGCCTGGAATGGCTTGGATTGGGGTGGGTACTCATTTAATGACCCATGATTCTCAGTTAATGATGGCAACTGGGACTGCTGGGATTGTGGTCGCTAAGCAATGCAGTCACATATCTTGCTTTATCACTACATTGTTTAGCGATGGAAATTCTGGTCGCAATTGTGGTTGTTAAGCGAGGATTACCTGTACTTTGCATCTACACTAATAACTACACTAATAATGACGACTCCATCCACTACAGAGAGCATGGATAGTTCATAAGTCAGCCTGATCACTGTTACCTACATACTTCAGATAGTCACTCATGCCCTAGTTACCTCATGGCTTGATTCCTGCAAGCACCCTATAGAGGGTTGCCCCTGAAGAACACTCGGAAGCTTCAGCTTGTCCAGAATGCTGCAGGATGGGCAACAATGGGCATGCCTTGGTTTGCCTATGTGCCACCCCTGCTCTGCAAGCTGCGCTGGTTGCCAATTTGCTTCCAGATGAGATTCAAGATGCTCATTATGACCTATAAAGCCCAATGTGACAAGGATGTTTTGAGGGACTACCTGTCTCCCATGGCATCTGCCCGGCTAATACAAGTCAACAGGATTGGTGCACTCCTGGTCTCTTCTATTAAACAGTATCATCTTATAGGATCCAGGAAGTGACCTTCTCTGTCACAGCCCCTGTGAACTTTTGGAATGATGTTCCCCTGATGTCCAGGTGGCTCCCATCCTGTTGACATTCCAAAGTGCCTTAAAGACCTGGCTGTTTTCCCAGGCCCTTGGCTAGGGTAGCTTGAGCCTCTTGAGGGGTGTGCCTGTATATGTTTTCTGTATTGTTGGCGGGATCTGCCATTTTGTTCTATATTTTTTTACTTGTTTTCTATTCAGTTTGTTTTTCTTTCTTTCCCTCCCTCCCTCCCTCCCTTTTTCATTCTGTTTGTTATGTTGTCAGCTATCCAGAGTCACTCTGGACTCAAGCAGTGCATAAATAAGTTAAATTAATGCCTCCATATAATCCATCACACTATTCTCTTTGGGTCTAAGCAAAGTTATACAATGCACAGAGAAAGAAAGTAAGGAAAAGGAAGTGTAATTAAATCTAGCTTACATCAATGCTTCTTCATACTTTTCTATCCTTGCAAACCATCCTTATTTCCATTACATCTATACATTGCCACATACTTCCCTTTTTGTTCTATAAACTTTTCACATCTCTTCTGAGGATCCCATCAACTCCATCCAACCATGACTTTCTTAATCTTTCTATCTGAATGTACTCACTGTTCTTCCATGTACAGGTAGTCCTTGCTTAACAACAGTAATTGGGACCAGAATTTCCATCACTAAGTGACGCGATCATAAAGCACAATCTCACGTGACTGCATCACTTAGCAATGGCAATCCCAGCAGTCCCCATGGCTATTGTTAAGCGAGGATCGCAGGTCAACAATTGAGGACCTCCTCACAACTACTTTGGCTGGTAGGTAAGTGAGCAATTTTGGGCCCAGGGGTAGCTGCTGCCAGGCGGGGAAGGGTGCACAGGTGGCTGCAGCGGCATGTACAAGTAATTTCGGGCCCAGGGGTGGCTGCTGCCAGGAGGGAGAGACTTACTGAAGTGACTTGCAACCTTCCCTGCCAGCTTCTCCCTTGACTTTACTTGTGGGAAGCCAGCAGGGAAGGTCATAAATGGGAATCATGTGACTGCGGGTCACTGCAACTGTCGTAAATGCAAGCCAGTTGCCAAGTGCCCAGATTGTGATTATGTGATCAGGGAGGTGGTGCAATGGCCAGAACTTCGAAGACCAGTTGTTAAGTACCACTTGTTTAGCACCGTCACAACTTCAGTCGCTGAATGAGTGGTTGCTAAGTGAGGACTATCTGTATTTTGTGATCTGACACTCTTTTTTTTATCACGTCTTTATTATTTTTATAAATAACTCAAGGTGGCAAACATACCTAATACTCCTTTCTCCTCCTATTTTCCCGGCCCAAAGTCACCCAGCCAGTTTTCATGCCTAAGGTGGGACTACAGCTGACAGCCTCCTGGTTTCTAGCCTGGTGCCTTAACCACTAAACCAAACTCTTCTCCAAACTATCTCATTGTACTTCTTTCTTACTAGTTACTTATTCTTGTATTTAATTCACGTTTTTTCAGCACTCATTAATTCTTAACTGTTTTTGTTTTACTAGCTCCACTTTTTAAGTAATCTATTCCCACAGTATTTAGCTTATTTTGAACTATACTTCTCCTGAGATACCTGATTCTCACTTCTTTATAAGAAAAGAGATAGAAGCATGCTTTTATACACAACTATTTTTGGTCCTTTCAACATTAATTCCTACTCACTATACTTTTCAATTAGTTTTTGCACATCATAAAATTTCTCAGTCCTAAACATGATTTAAATAGGCAAAACATTATGGTTATATTGCAATACATTACCTATCCAAACAAATCAAAGTTTAGATGTCATATATGTACACACATACACACAAAAACACATACATATAAATATGTACAATTAGAGTATTTTGTAATATATTAAAAGTTATAATGAAAAAAGAGTGACAGCATCTACCTAACCTTGGCTGTTTAAGCAGGGTCAGCCTTGGTTATTATTTGGATGGGGAACCACCTGGGAAGCCCACAGCTGTTGATCTGGGAAACAAAAATCTCCAAGAAGCAATGGCAAACCACTTCTGTATCACACCACAAAAATTTCAATGATGTATCTATGTCAATCCAACAGTCTAGCTTGACTCAAAGGTGACTTTACTTTTACCTTAATGGTATATGAAAAGCAATGATACCATATCTGGCACAAACTGGTATAATATTGAAGATCTTGTTTAAGTAAAGAACATTAATCCAAAACATAAGGGAAAGTTTGACATTTTGTTCTATTTCCCTTGCTGTCTAATAAAATAGAACAAAATGTCAAAACTGTTAGTTTTCCGTGCCTGGAGGCTGTAGGGGCCTGGATGGGGAGCAATGGGTTCCGGCTCAACCCAAGCAAGACTGAGTGGCTTTGGGTGTATGGGCCTCCCAGTACCAAGGTTCTTCCATCTTTGGTTCTGGAGGGGTGGCTCTGCCCAAGACTGACCTGGTGCGCAATCTGGGGGTCCTCTTGGACTCACGGCTCCTGCTGGAAGAGTAGGTAGCAGCCATGGCTAAGAGGGCCTTTGCACACCTTTGGGTTGTGCGTCAGTTATGCCCATTCCTGGACCAGGTGGCTCTACTCACTGTCACTAATGCCCTCGTGACCTCCCGTTTGGACTACTGCAACGCGTTCTACATGGGGCTGTCCTTGAAGAGCATTTGGAAGCTTCAGCTGGTACAGAATGTAGCTGCCCAAGTTGTAAATAGTGTTGGCTACTTGGTACATGTAACACCACTGGTTTGGGAGCTGCACTGGTTGCTGGTGTTTCCAGGTGCAATTCAAGTTGCTAATTGTTACCTTTAAAGTCCTTCATGGCTTGGGACTGGGTTACCTTAGGGGCCATCTTTTCCCAGTTGTTTCTACCCGTCCAATCCAGTCCGGCAGGTTGGGCATGCTCTGGGTCCCATCAGCCAAGGAATGATGGCTGGCGGGGACCAGGAGACGTGCCTTTTCTGCTAAGGTGTCTGCCTTCTGGAACATCTTCCCTCCTGAGATTAGGATGGCCCCAACCCTTTTGGCTTTTTGGAAGGCCTTGAAGACCTGGCTTTATGCCCAGACCTGGGGTCCCAAGCATGGTTGTGCTGATACCGATGGTTTTTTAAGATCTCTTGACTGCATTTATATGTATATTTAATTTTTTGTACTGTTTTAAATGTTGACTGTTTTTATTGTTGTTAGCTGCCCAGAGTCACTGGTCTGAGATGGGAGGCTACATAAGTTGAATGAATGAATGAATGAATGAATGAATGAATGAATGAATAATAAAATTGCTATTTAATTTTTAAAATTGATTTAACACTATTATCCTATTTTAATTAAAAATCAATATATAGAAAAGGGCAAGCTAACTTACATATAGGAGGCTGAGTTTTCTTTAGCTCTTGAAGATCAATGGCAAATTTGCGGAATTGGCTATTGAACTGCTGGGCAAAACTTTTGAGGCCAAAAATATCTTTTGAATGAGATATTACCGTTCTGTTCATCTGAGTGAAACAGTTCCAAAGACTGGAGATGTGTCTATTTAAGCCCTCCTTTATCCTTTGAAGGCTGTTAGTGACAGAATCTAATTTATTGCAGGTTTTCTCAACATTCAATACTTTATCCTCCAAGTCCGAGATGCCAGGTAATTTATTTTTGCATTTGGTCAAGTTAAAAAATCCTTCCCCATTTAGCTGATTCATCTTTTTCTCCAAGTAATTACAACAATTATTGCTTTGGTGAATTGTTTGATTGTCCATTGTTTTCTGTATTTCATCTGTTTTTCTGGGTAACTCAAGCTGTGTATTCCCACATGTAGAATTGATACCTAAAAGTTCTTCTTTACAGCTGTTTAAACCACTCTGAAGGAGTTTTACATCTTTATCAATAGTGTTCAGACCAAAACGAACTATTCGCAGATCCTTATGAAGTTTACGAATGTCACGTTGGGTGCCTTTAATTAAATTGAACTTTTCACTTAGAGAGCTATTGAAAGATTTTAAAATATCAAAATTGTCTTTTGTTTTCAAAAATAACTGATCATATTTACTGTTAGTGTTTTCTATGCCTTTCTGAAGACTGTCCAAATACTGTGATACAGACTGGCAAACATTTTCAGTGTATCGTAATTTGTTCTTCATAAGATTAATCTCCAATACAAGGTGCTTATTTCCAGATTCGGAGTTATTCTGCAATCTTGATCCTTGACTAGTATATATCTCATCGGGATTGGTAACATTAGCAATATCTAGAATAGTAGAACCTAGTCTGTTTTCTACTGCTTGGAGCTTTTTGTCAAATAAGTCTCTTACTTCATCTACTTTAGTAGCTATAACACTACGAAGAGTTTCCTCAATGTAAAAGCAATGTTCTTCAGCATTTTTCTCTGTAACATTAATCCTTGCTTCTAATTCCTCCCATTTTTCATCAAAGTTGTCATCTGAATATGGAGTGGAAATATGCTTTATTTCATTATCTATCCTGGCATTTAAAATTTTATTTGCTTCTGCAATCTTCTCTATCTTTTTATCCAAAGTTTTCATCTGTTGTTTAATGTCATCACTTTTAGCATCATTGCAACAATATGATTGATTTAATGGTGCTTCGATAACATTCTGTAGATTTTGAATTTGTTTCCTCAGGTCATTTTCTTTTTCTGCAACAGATTTTCTTAGTCCTAAGAAATTGGCTTCATGGTCATCACAGTGTTGTTGAATATCTATCAGCTTGTATTCACAAGAATTTTTCAGATCTGCCATTTTCTTCTCAAATCCTTCCAACATTTCTTGTCTCAAGGCTTCAAATTTAGCATCTATGTATGCCTGATATAACTGACTGCTGGGCATTGTTACTGTTGGCCCTTGGGCTGCTTCTTGGAGCTGTTTTAGTTGCCCTTCATAGTGATTTACTTTCCCATTCAGTTCTTCCAACCTATTAATTTTGGCCTTCAAGCTATCCTTTATTTCATCTTCTTCAGATGTTAGGCTTCCTGTTTCAGATTTGTATGAGTCATTAGTTTGGGGCACGTAAGTATTTTCTGTTTCGCCCTCCAAAGTACTGTCCAACCCTGGATGGTCATGAAGGTTGTTCAACCATGATATTACTCTCTGACTTGCATCTTCCTGCACAGTAACTTTTGGATTTTTATTCATATTGATTATAGAGGACTGAAGTTCTAGCACAGTCTGTGTAAGACGGAATAATTCATCCTCCAGAAACTGTATTTTTTTATCTTGTGAGTCTTGCTTTGGTCTAGAATCTATAGAAGGAAAATGTGGTATTATTTTATCTCTTTCAGTAATTTATTTGAACAACATAAGTGAGCACACTGAAAAAAAATATTTACATTCTTACATTTTTGCAGCTTGATGCATTTCAGTACTAAGAAACCATGTGAAGAAAGGAGTCATATGAAACATTTAAATCCATGCATCATGTAAGAAACTCAAAATCAACTATGAGACTAATTTGAAAGATAAATGGGAAATTTTCCAGACACAGATGGCCAGATGACCCACTAACAGCCTATTAATGGAGATACAGCAAAGCATCAGTTGAATAATATCTTATCATTGCAAACTTAATTTATAACAACATGGTTACATAAAAAATGCTGGGAAAATGATGAAAGACCCAATAGAATCTTGGCAAACTGACTGAAGCAAAAAAAAAAAAAAAAGGCAAAATAGTTACAGCCATTAAAAAATGGGAACAATAAAATACAGGTAGTTCTCACTTAATGACCGCAATTGGGACTGGCAACCCCATCACTAAGCAACATGGTCATTAAGTGAAATATCATGGGACTCTGCCTGACTTACGTCAGTTCCACTGTGGTCATTGATCAAATCATCCAGGGTCGTTAAGTGTGATATAATGTGACCACAACTTGTGAGTTACTTCCAGCTTCCCCACTGACTTGCTTGTTGGAAGCTGGCTGTGAAGGTTGCAAATGGCAATCGCATGACTGTGGGATGCTGGGATGCTGCAACCATCATAAGTTTGAGGACTGATCATATATCTACTTTTTCAGCGCTGTCGTAAGTTTGAACGGTTGCTGAACGTGGCAACCGTTAACCAACAACTATCTGTATATAGGTCCCCAAAGGACATATATTGTATATAGTAAATCTGAAAACCTGTTTGATGAAAATATAGAGACTTTTAAAGCTAAAATTGACTGTCCACAGTTGATTCCTCAAAGTAATTATTACTCACTCCTTTGACTATGGATAAGACCAAAAGGTGATTTTGAATGTGAGTAACAGCAAAGCTTTTCTGTGGAATGGCATAAAACATTTATTGATACATGTGCTCCTAAACTCCATCAACTCTATAGTCATATCTCTGAAAATGAATTTTTATCTTCTTCATTTAATGAAGCATATATTGAAGTTATGCCAAAATCTGATAAAGATCATATGCCAAATGCTAATTATTGACCCATTTCATTGATTAATGTAGATTTTAAAAACATTATTGTAGCTACTAAACTTCAACAAGTGGTTAAGAATTAACAATGAAAACATTTGCCATGGGAAACAATTTTCTTATAGATAAAACAATGCAGAATTAATACATAAAATAATATAGGAATAATAACCTACTTCACAAAGGTAATGGGACTAATAAATCTAACAAAGCACAGCAAAGCACATTAAACAATAAAAGCATGATGTAAAATTTAGCAAAAAGACTATGGATATCAAGATCTAGAGAAAAAATTTACCCAAGCTCGGCTTCATGTCGTTTGATGGAAGTTCCGCTGGGTAAACTATCGGTCTTCGTTTTTCTGTTACACCCTCTTTGCAATCTACACCCATGTATCCAGGACAGCATCTCCACTCCAATTCGGTTACCATCTTGTATGTTAAAGTATATTTAGGTCTCAAACTTGTTCGATACCTATAATGAATTAAAAGTAGCATTTGTTAAACTAGTTTAATTATCTTTATTGTTTTGGTCTTTCAACAAACAGTGCAAGCAGTACTTTAAAGAACAAATATAATAATTAAAATTAAGAAACCTGTGTACTATTTCTTAGGCATACCAAGAAGAATTTATTATTCTATAACGTAGTAACAGTTTTTTGATCGTAGAACCAACTACCCAGAGAGCTGATGGGCTGTCCTTTGCTGAATGTGTTTATTTATTTATAATGACGTTTATATAGCCACCCATCTCACACAAAGTGACTCTGGGTGGCGTACAACAATTAAAATATTGTTCACGCAAGGCCTGTATACCACCCGTCAGGGATACTTTAATTTGAAGTCCTTCATTCATCAGATGTTGGACTTGATGGTCTAAATGGCCCTTCAAAGTCCATAATTATTTGAGGTGACCTCTTGTCTATGACTGTAAGCCTGCCTGCCTGCGCATAACATGTTGTGTATGAGCAAGCATACAGAGATATCTGGAAACAGCAATGCAAGCCTTTCAAAAGATATAACTGCCTTTCGCCTTACAGGTGAAAGAGTTGCTTCATTCATCCTCCCACATGTTGCAAAGCACCTTTCTGAATTATTTGTATGGATATAAATTACATTATTGTCAGAATACTGAACTCATGGCTGGCTTTTGAAATTAGCTTGACAACTGCATATGATCAAGGGCTGAACACTGCCCTAAAACTTCAAAATATATAAAAAGGCTTTAAACCACTCTGTGAAGTGGAAGTGGTTTGAAAGGCAAAAATTTGAATCATGAGACATAGGATCCCATTCGTCCTATATCACCCTATCAGTCTAGTCACTGCACAATATTGCTTTGCAAATGTTAATGCGTACATGATCTAAGCATGCCACCTTCTAAAATATAATATTTAAAGTTGCCTTCAATATCAAATGAAACTACTGCAACTCCTTCTGAGAACTAAGGGACATCTTTGCAGCAGTTTGGAAACAGCTTTGAACCTATGTGATTGCTAGTTTTGAAAGTTGCATCATTTTTTTTTCTAATTCTTCTGCACTATTTGAAACCAGAGAAATGCTGTTTCTCTGTTTGAAATCTAATTTTTATGTACAGTAAGTACAGGTCCTTCAATTATTTTTCTAAAAAACACAAACACATAGATTCTAGTTGCATAAAGTGTTCTGAATCATTGCTGAGATATCTGGAAAACAATGTATTATTAATCAGAAATATAGAAGAGCAAAATTATGTACAGAGTATGCCTACACATGTTCATTCAGAAATAAATTCCAGCGTGTGACACATACAGGACTAAATTTTAGTTGAAATGAGAAGATATATAAACAATACTTGTGATGGAGAAAAAGGTGGAAAACCTAACATCCTGACCACCCATGGCTTTCCTGTCCCTGTATTCTCTTCTTATCCACAACATATAACTACTTATTACTGCACAAGCAATTTAGGGTTCTTTTTTTTCATCTCTCTGAAGTCAGTGGAATATATGTCTGATTTAGAGGTTTAGAGGGGTATCTCTACCATAACACTATTTAAGCTTGCATCCAACCTCATGAACGTATACTTCATGTATATGAAGTATACATAAACTTGTTTCCATATTAAGACTTTAATATATGGGTTGAGAAAATTGAGTAGAACTCTGAATAACAAAACCTTTAGAAAACTCAAATAATGTATATTCACAGTTGCTTTAAATTTCTATTGTTGACTTGACTATACAAGCATCTACTGAAAATTGAAAAACTGGTGTCTTAACAGTATTTTGAGTATCTTTTGAATATGTTACATATGGTTATTAGTTAAACAGATGAAGGAAACTGGAGTTTAAAAGATTAAAATGTATGATATCCATTGTACAATTTGCTTTATCAGTGGAAATTAACATATGATGTGGGAAACATTTCCAAAACATTTCCAAAAAATTATAGGAGGTTTTTAGGGCATTTTTAATATATGTTTTTTAATTATTTATAGATTT